CAATTTTTCTTCGTCGATTGCTGGAGAGAAAAAAATAACGAAAAAGAAGAGAAGGAAGCAGATCTAGATATGGAGAAAGAGATTGGAGAGAAAAAAAAGGAACAGAGAAAGAGAAATAATCTGAAAAGGAGATTGAGAGAGAAAAAGGAAGAGAGAAGTAAGGGAGAAAGAAAAAAGAGAGTTGCAGAGAAATTATTCTCTCTCCTCCTTTTAAAAGGCAGCCATTAAAAGTGGCTCCTTTTTTGAAAAAGCTGACATTAAAATCGGAATATAATAAAAATAAAAATTTATAAACGGACACAAATGCCCTTTTGGACCCCGCATTCAGCCCAGCCGCATGATTGATCCGCCCACTAGATCTACAGTGTGCGTGCATTTACTGATAGGTCAGTAACCATTGGTTACTGACTCTATCCCAGACCCGATCAGAGCGGTTGCGAAAGCTAAAAGGCAGAGCGCCAAGGCGAAGGTTCGGATGCCCTCTGTTTTGGGTAATTATCATAAATGGTAACAAACCTATTCACTTTGTACAAAACGGTCACAATTCTTTAATTTTGCACGTTTTGATAAAACAAATTTGAACTAATAACGAAATGGTCAATCCGTCCAAAACTCTGTTACCTGTTGCCCAATCAGCATGACACGTCATTAAAATATCAGTTAAAAAATAAGTTTATCACCCCACTTAACCCACACAACCCAACCGGTCGTAACCAGCCGAATTACCCACCCCCTTCCCTCAATATTGAGTGATTGTGGTGGGGCCTCTAAAAAGTAAATGCATGTATTCTAGTTCTATATAAAGAAAAAAAAAACAACTTAATCTCCCAAATAAATGAATTAGATCAATACACCATTTGAAATCACAACTTCCAAACGACCCCTAAGAAACTAAACAAACTAAATACTTGCACAACTACACTAACTAATTTACAAGTTGGGAGCTCACTTAAGCATTGAATCCTCCAATTTCTTCATTAGGTCAATGTTGATTACTTTCCTAGATTGATTTACTCGATACTTCTACCACAGAGAGTTCTATACTAGATTGGACTCCCTATTCGAGTTATCCAACCCTGCTTAATTACACTACCCATAGAGGTACACCATACAACTGACTTAAGCAATTAAGGTGTTCACAACTAACTCCCACAATTGGGTAAAACACAATACGACATTATGGACCCAATCACACTCGTTCATAGACGCTCAATAATGTTAGTGCTATACTCAACCTAGAGAGATATTCCAAATTCCCCAAACACATTCTCAAACACATTCCCCAAACACATGCTCAAAAACACAATACGACATTAAGGGAAGATGGAAGGTAGTAGATGAAGGTTAGACGCTAGAAAGCTATCTGAATTCCCCAAACACATTCTCAAAAGAGCACTACGTTCCAAAAGAAAACCCCTTTGACGGTTTAACTTAAACGCTATGACTAGTTGTCGCTGACGCGAGACAGTTATTTCATTCAAAACACATTAAAAAATGGAGTATCGTTTTGCAAAACTTTTTTCGAGTCCAAAAGTGGAGAGAGTCCAACACATATGCTCTAGTCATCACTAGTCAACATTATCAACCAACCAAAGAGAAAGTGGAAGCAAAACATGGTCCAACATCCTCCGTAGCGCTACCGTATCCTCCTTTAAATGCACACCATCATGAAAGTTAACAATTTAAAGCACATTGAGTAGATAAACGCAAAGAGCAAGGTTTTTGGAATCCTTAATTCTGAAAATAAGGGCATTTAAACGAGGTTCCAAAACACTCTCAATATAGGCCATAAGACTATCATTCATCCACAAGTGCTTGGAGTCCTTTTTGTTTTAGCATTCAACTAGGCTCCAAAGCATTCATAAGATAGACCAAATCATTCATTCACACACACGCATCATGGAACACCCCCACACTTAAAGCACAATATTTCCTCAATGGAGAAAAGAGAAGGAGGGTAGAACAAATTTATTGGGTTATGTATGAATAATGGTGGACGACCGGAGGACGGGCCACTCGGGAGAGCAACTCAGCACACCACAAGCTGACAAAGATTGACTTATTTAAAGGAAATTAAATACAAACCCAAGGGTTTAGTTGCCTCCCAACAAATGCTTCTTTCACATCATGAGCCGGACAATAGCTCCTAAGTCTCGTTCATCCCAAAACCTCCTTGAAGTTGAGGTTCTCGTTGGTGATGTGGAGGTGCAAGTCACGAGCATTTGGTGTGGTAAGTGATGATGGTGATGGCTCATGGACTTGGTGAGACTTGAGGCTCCACCCACGATACCTTTTATTCTTTCCTTCTTCTTTCATCTTGTTGCCCATACCCTGTAAGACATCATGGATTGACCACCATCATATCCACCAAGAGGGATTGATGATGGTTTGGCCTTGGCTTGGCAAAGAGTTGCAAATGGGTCCTTCTTGAGAAGTGCATCAAGGTTGGGTGGAAAGTTTTGGTACCACTTGTAACTTGTAGAAGCTTCATCCACCACGACCTCGTCCATTGATCGAACACCACTTGCCTTCTCAACCTCCCTTCCTTCTTCAAAATTTCGTTCCTTCCTTTGGGAACAATCGAGATTCTCCTCTCATTCTATTCTCACTTCCTCCTCATCAACCTCTTTTCTCACCCTTTCTTGCTCTTCCTCAAACACATGTCAGATAGCAAGTTGCCAAGTAATGTCTTCGATAAGGTCATCTAGCTTGACCACTTTTGAGATTTGGTCTTGAGATGGGGAAAGGTATGAGAGTTGTCAATGAGCTTCAAACCTAGGTTTTTTCCTGGTAACCTAGAAGTCCTCGACAATGGTGTCAAAAACCTGACTCGCTCTAAACTAATCTCCCAATCGAAGGTCAAGCATAACCATCGACCGGTTGTAGTATAGTGTAAGTAAAGTAACAAAATTATCGAATCCAAGGGTCTGAAGATGTATCGTTACTTCAACTTCTGTTTGTTATCTAGCCACACAAAGTTTAATATTAAGAAACTAAACTAACTAAACTACTCTAACCACTACACTAACTAATTTACAAGTTGATAGCTCACTTAGGCATTGAATCCCCCTAATTCCTTCATTATGTGGATGTTGATTACTTCCCTAGATTGATTTACTCGATACTTCTACCATAGAGAGTTCTAGACTTGAGTTATCCAACCCATTCAATTACACTACCTAAAGAGGTGTGCCATACAACTGACATAGGCAATTGAGATGTTCACAACTATTTCCCACAATTGGGTAAACTGAATATGACACTATGGACTCAATCACACTCGTTCATAGACCTTCAATGATGAATTGGTAGAGCTCTAGTCAACCTAGAGAGATATTCTCTCTTCTAGGTAAAAAAGCCTCAAATTTAGGGATGAGATCAAGATCCAACAATTGCATGAAATACTCAATTCAATAGATAATAAAGCATCACAATTATAAGATTTGTCACAAGCATCAACAATCAATCCAAAATTTAGAATTAGGGTTTATCAACCTAAGTGAAGAGAAGTAATCCATAGAGAGGAGAGAGAATACAATATAATCTTCAATCTTCATCATTTTTTATTGATCTTCCATCTCCAGATTGACACCTCCAAATCATATCCAAGAACCCTCCTATATCTCTCTCTCTCTCACTCTAGAATCGCCCCTTGGGGTGTTTTTAGTTGAAAACCCAACTCTCACCCATAAAAACCTGCAGCTACAACCCTTTTATAGCAGAGCAGTGTGCAGATCACGGCCTAGGTCACGACCGTGACACATGCTTTGACATGTGCTAAATAAAGCCCCTCACAACATTTTTGTGTAAACCTCACGTGTTTGATGTAAATGTCACAGCCAAGCCGTGAGGGCTACACTTGGTCAGGAAACACTTATGTTATTGTTTCTCTGGTTGAAACTCATGTCATCTATGCGAATTTCACGGCTTATGTTGCGATCACAGCCTAGGTCACAGACATGCCATAGGCTGTGACCTGTGTAAATCTGATGCATTTTTGCCATTTTCACCTCCAATCGTCCTGAAACTCGTTCATCGGTCATATTTACGTCATATGACCAATATGTGACAAACTAAACATAACCTAGCATAATATAGGCCAATGAATGGTAAACAGTAAACACCAAGTCAAACAATCAAGAAATGAAAAATAAACCATGTATAATTGAGCCCGAATCTATAATCCATCTCCATGTTGAAGATTAATTTTAAACTATGAGGCAAGTCATGCGGGGCAAGTTGGAAAAGCACATCGTAGACTTGAAAGAAAACTTTACACCTCAAAAAAAAACTAGGGTAAGTTTGAATGTCCGTGCATTATGAAATATTTTCATTTGATACCCATCGTTAAATTTTCTATTAAAAAACTTAACGATGCAACTAAAATTTAACTTATATAATTTAGGGGTAAATACCACATTTGGTCACTGAGATTACTAAATTATGTAATGTTTAGTTACTAGAAAAAAAATAATATCAATTTTGGTCACTCGAATTACTGAAACATGTCACATTTAGTCACTCTCCTAATGGAGTTGGACGGAAACTAATGGGAGAGTGACTAAATGTGACATGTTTCAGTAATTTGAGAGACATTCATAAAAAAAAGTAATTTAAGTGACGGTCGTTGGACGGAGGCTAACGGGAGAGTGACTAATATGATTTATTTTAGTAATTCGAGTAACCAAAGTTAATATTAATTTTTTCTAATGACTAAACATAACACGAAATCTCATTGATCAAATTGATCAAATGTGACATTTATCCTATAATTTCTTTTCAACTAAAAAGATTTAGGTGGTCACATTGCGACGAAACCAATACGCAAGTGCATTTAACCCACAAACAAACGACTCCTAGCTTTAGCCATTCTTCCTTCTTTCTATTACTGTATTACATCACATCTCCCCACCTCGTTCTCTCTCTCTCTCTCTTACTCGGTCGCTCTCTCGCAGGCAAGCCCTCTCCTCTTTCGGTATATTCCCATCTCATCTCGCCGCGCAGCTTTATCTCCTTCTGTTTCCTGCCTTCCGTCGTCTTCTTCTTCCTGTGCCTTTCACACCCGTGTGTTTTGTTTCCCGATAGATATCAATGGTGGGCTTATAAGCTCGGGGTGGGGATAGTTTGATTTGGAGCTTCCCGGAACCTCCAATACTGATGGCTGTACCGCTTTCGCGCTAAAGTTGTGTTCTTTCTCTTTTTCATGTTCTTGTCGTCTCTGTTCTGCTTTTGCCGGGGAAAGCTCTTCTAGGGTTTTAAATTTTGCGCAACGTACGAGCTGAATTAGTGGGAATGCTTGTGGGATGGTTTCTTGATATGGATGGTTAATGGTGTTTGCTTGGAGTGACTGGCCGAAGTATGGTTGTTTATCATCTCAATTGGGGTTCTTGTAAATTCGAAAGCTTGTTTCTTGGTATCTGTTTATGTGTGTTTGGGATTGTGGGATTTTCGCCTGTTATAGGTTCTTGATTGGTAGTGCATCTCAGAATGAATTAGACCGAAGTGGGATGTTTGTTGTTAAGAGTATCTGATTTTTCCGCTCCGAGAGGAAGCAGCAGGGGTCATTACATGCGTTGTTCTTAGTGGTGGAGCTAGTGATTGATTGTGGTTTCAATTTCTGCAGGCTTTACTCGAAATGACTGAGCCCTCTAAGGTAATCCATGTCCGCAATGTGGGGCATGAAATTTCTGAGGTATATCTCCCTCTCCCTGTCCCTCCTTTTATGTATTTTTTACTTTCTCATCCTTCAGCATCACTCTAAAGTCTAAACTCATTGCAGTAATGCTGTAGTTTATGCACTTTTTTCTAGCCTTCTGAAAGTGTTTCACGCTTGCAAAATAAGTAGGACTTGTCGTTTTGTTTATGAAAGATAAGTAGGGTCAGTCGATTATGTCATTTCGTGGCATCTGAAATAATCGATTTCGTTTAATATAATGGTTTTAGTTAATGCATCAGCAAACACATTTTAATTGCAATTAAGGTATGCTATATTAGGATTTGGGAAGAATCTGCTGGTCTTAAGTTTTGCGCTGCAATGCGACCACGTGTCAGATTGGAAATCTGACAGTACTGTTGTGTTCTCTAGGCTCATTTACTTGATATTTAACTCTGATCGTGTCTTGAAATTAAGTTTAATGACGATTATTTCATCCTTAATGCAGATGTCATGATTTTTTTTATGCTATATATATTTTGGTGTCACTATTGATTGTCGAGATAATATACATAATGTAAACTGTACTGCCAAAACTGTTCTTAATTCAGAGACAAGACACTGTGTTCATCATGAAATGGTATGAAGCTGGAAACTTTTATGATCTTGTGCTGTATAGTAGTTCATCAATACATGCATAACCCATTTTAATTATACTATTAGGTATGATAATCAATTTTTGAATGTCTAAGTGTGCTTGTTGAATAAAAAAAAAACATCTGTCTGGGCAGAGGTTTGCTTTTTGCTCCCAGAATGACCATATGGAATTGAATCTGTCTTGCTTTCTCTATGCCTGCCTCTAATACTTGTTTCCTATTCCCAGAATGACCTGCTCCAGTTATTTCAGCCATTTGGGGTTATAACGAAACTTGTTATGCTTCGTGCTAAAAATCAGGTATGTTTACCATCTCTTATACATATTAAAAAACCTTCGAAACAAACAGATTGAATTCAGAAGAGTTAAAAAAATATTATCCAGTAGTAGTTCATATGTGGGTACTCCGAATAAAAAGTGCTAGAAATATATGTATCTCATACAAGTAGCAGCCATCACTGGTAACTGTGTTGTCTGGTAACTGTGTAGGCTCTCCTTCAAATGCAAGATGTTAATTCAGCGATAAGTGCCCTGCAATTTTATACAAATGTTCAGCCAACCATAAGGTAAATGATGAGACCTTTTTGTTTATTTCTAGGAGCCTTGAAGAGGAACTTCATTTCCCAATACGTTCTTGCAATGCGAAAACATCAGGATCTGCGAACATAATTCGCTTCATATTATCGGATCTTTGGTCTTAAGAGATTTACAAAAGTTTCTTTCTTTCAGAGGTAGGAATGTCTATGTCCAGTTCTCGTCACATCAAGAACTAACTACAATGGATCAAAGTACTCAAGGACGAGGAGATGAGGTTGGTACTCTAGCCACCCTTAGGCATTTAAAAGTTCTTACTGTTAGAATATAATGTGAAGATAGTCTGAAATGTGGCTTCATGTTCTGCTGACTGTTGATCTCCTCTTTTGCCTGGTTCTCCTACTTGTATGTTCACCATTATCCCAGGCAAATATATGTTGCAATTAGTGTAATAATATACCGTGAACGATGTTTTTAGACCTTTTCTGTTGTTGTTTTTTACCTGTTCAGCACATCTAACCCCCATGGGTTGATTGATCTTATTAGAATATCTTATTGTCACCTTTGCGTCTTTCTAGGGCGTTTAAACGTGGCCTGCTTGTTCTTTAGAATGTAATTTTATTTAAGCTTATACCTTCTACTAGCTCTATCGAGTGTAACATCCATTAAGGATGACAGGGTATTCTACTGTGAGAAGCTTATTGCATGTCCGATCAAAATTTCTAGGCTTTGCTCTGAACTCTACTGACTATAACTTAAATATTTCTCATCTTCAACTTTCGCTTTCTGTCCTGCTCATATAATATCTTCTCCTCTTTGTTATTCTTTATATCTTCTCTTCCTCATTCTCTTCTTTCTCTTGTCTCCATGTCTGGTATGTTGTTGGGCACTCTATGGATGCAGCAGCCAAATCGAATTTTGTTAGTGACAATCCATCACATGTTATATCCTATTACAGTGGATGTGCTGCATCAAGTTTTTTCTCCTTATGGATTTGTGGAAAAGATTGTGACTTTTCAGAAGTCAGCTGGTCAGCTTCTTCTAGCTTCTTCTCCTATATCTTTCTGTTGATTTTAGTTTCCGTTGTTGATAGCATTTGGTATTTGCTTATGTGTTCTGTAGGCTTCTTATGTCCAGCTCTTCTGCCCATGCGTTCTGGAGGTTTTTGATTCTGTCTTGGTTAACTCACAATTCTTTCTTGGTTCTCTGGTATTTCATGTGTTCCAGGTTTCCAAGCCCTTATTCAATACCAAGTACGCCAGAGTGCAGTATCTGCTCGGACTTCTCTTCAGGTACCATTCTGTCCTTTCATGTTGAAGGTTATTTGTGTTCTTACTTGGAGCTCTATATCTGATGGGAGAGCTACTGGGCAATCTGCAGGGCCGCAATATATATGACGGCTGTTGTCAGCTTGACATTCAATTTTCAAAGTATGTACAGTGTGGCTCTAATTTATTCAGTATAGCCTTTGTGGTATCTTGTGCACTTTCTGGTCCTTTAGGTTTTGGCTGGCTTTGTAGATTTGATTTCTTCCTGCCTTTTGACATTGACTGTTGTGTTTTGTCTCTCTCTAGTTTGGACGAGCTGCAAGTGAACTACAATAATGATCGTTCGAGGTAAATCTTCATTCTCATTTATCCTTTTGATACTATTGCAATTATAGTCTTCCAATACTGACCATTGTCTTTGTCAGGGATTTTACCAACCCAAATCTACCTTCAGAACAGAAAGGGAGATCCTCTCAAGTAATGATCGTTATCAATGTCTTAAATCTTTCCACAGCTTCCTTTAAGGATGTAATTTTTTTATGTGGCTCTTATGAACTTACTAAATCATGTTTCTTTTGGTGTCTGGAATGCAGTCTGGATATGGAGATATGGGGGGCATGTATGACCATCAATCCTCTGCTGCCGGTGCAGGTGTGCTAGATTTATAAATTAGCAAAGTTGCGTGCTCTTTTCTCATTTAATGTGTGCTTTGTGGGCATAAATTAATCCTTCTTCACTTCCTCTTGTTATTTGTTGCAGTTCCATATCCTCAGGTTGGCCTCTCAATCACGGTTCTGAGTTTATTTAAAATGGAGGACTTTTCTGCTTATTGTCTGCATTATTATTCCTTGTCAAGCAACAGGCAGCTGAATCCATGCCAGATTTCCACAATATCTGTATACAACCTTGTTCAGGATGGTAGCTTGAGCTGCACATGATTTATATTGAACTTGCTTTTCGATGTCCTTTTTGTGACTCTTTAGATGGGGAATGCTGCTGCAATTGCTGCTGCCTTTGGTGGAGGATTGCCTCCTGGCATTAGCGGAACAAATGACCGATGTACTGTACTTGTATCCAATTTAAACCCTGATGTAAGTGTGCTCTCTGTCAATTCTCTTTGAAAATATTTGGTTTGGTGCTCATCCCTGGCATTGTTGATTCCTGATGCATATTTTCACTGCTGCAGAGAGTAGATGAAGACAAGCTTTTCAACCTCTTCTCTCTGTATGGAAACATTGTCCGAATCAAACTTCTCCGTAACAAACCTGACCATGCACTTGTTCAGATGGGAGATGGTTTCCAAGCTGAGCTGGCAGTCCATTTCTTAAAGGTTTTGTCCATTGCTATTTCACTATTTCAATCAGCTTGCTAAACTAACAAGTTAATCATATGTTAAAAAATTTCATTGGTACAGGGTGCAATGCTATTTGGAAAGCGCCTGGAAGTCAACTTCTCGAAGCACCCTAACATAACTCAGGGTGCTGACACTCATGAGTACATAAATTCAAATCTCAACCGCTTCAACCGCAATGCTGCAAAGAACTACCGGTACTGTTGCTCTCCGACAAAGATTCTGCACATATCTTCCTTGCCTCAGGAAATCGTTGAGGATGAGATTGTAAGGCACCTGGAGGAACATGGCCCAATCATCAACACTAAGCTATTTGAGATGAATGGAAAGAAGCAGGCCCATGTCCAGTTTGAGACAGAGGAGGAAGCCACAGAGGCCCTAGTCTGCAAGCATGCCACCACGCTGGGTGGGTCGATTATCAGGATCTCCTTCTCACAGCTGCAATCGATCCGAGAAAGCTCGTGAAGCAAGGGAGCAGTCCTACACTGGGTAAGGGAATGAATATGGTGGTTGATGATTGTCTCTAAGCAAAATTGGGATCTTTGGCAAAGGATGATCATGATGTTAAAAATGTGTGCTTTGCTGCTGCAAACCGTTATTTTTTTTCTTGTAATGCTCTTCACTTGTCTCGCATGGACATGGTAGATGATGATGATGATGATGATTATGCTTTGGTTTGACAATTTTGATTTGATCATCCTAGTGACCTCTTTTCTTAAGATATTATTGTTGTACTACCCTGCTTCCAATTATTTTCATCCGATGGTCAGTCGGATATGAGATATCACCATGGCTAACATGAAGAGTCGGATGACTATAGATTGGGGGTTCTTGATTTTTGCAGATAGTAGCTCCAGTTTTTAATAGTGAGAAAGTAGGGAGGGAGGGAGATTTTTAGTTTTGGCCTAAGTTTGTGATAGAGAGATTGAGCGTGGGTATCAGAAATGTTTGTATAATTTTATTTGTGTATACTTCTTGGTTATAATTAAGCTCTTTGTTATCTACTTATGTTTCTTCTTTCTTGAACACTCCTCTCCTCACAATCCTCTCTTCTTCCCTTCCATTCTTCCTTCCATAGCTTCCTTCTCCTTTCACTCCCCTCTCCGGCCATGCCTTCTTTCTTTGTTCTCTTCCAAAGTCATTTATTAGACAATCCTATTTCTCCTCCTTCCGCTTTTCGTCTCCTCTGTTCTCTTCTCTGTTGTCTATCCTTCCGTCTATCTGTGGTTTGTGGGGAAGAAGAGTGAAATTGGGTTTGTGATGGAGGGAGAAGAGTTGATAGCATTTGATTTGTTTCTTGAAAAGTTGGATCTGGTTCGTCAACTTTGAAAGTTTTGCTTGGAGGAAATGTGATCTTGGTCTTTGGATCATGCAACCGAGAAGTATCAGACCAACAGATTGTTAGCAGTACCATGTGAACTGTTAACTTGTTTTTGAATGATGTGGTTCAAATTGCTAGAACAGGCTAATAGTTTGTAGATATAGCCGATCTAGGCACTTAACTTGCATGATAACCACCGGTGGCTCCATGAAGCTGAGAGTGCGAATGTTAACTAAAGCATTGTGGTGCGCAATGAGGCTATGAAGCTGAGAGCACGAATGTTAACTAAAGCATTGTGGTGTGCAATGAGGCTATCAAACCATCACGAAAACACACACATCATACTTTAAACTACTACTAACCGTATCATTAGCATTATTGGAGCTTCCAGTTCAGCCTTCATATTGTCATAACTGGATAGCGGTTTCCATTTTCGCAACAACTTGTATTCCTCTCTATGCTTCATGGACGCTACTCTGATCCGAGTAACGTCTTCATTTCTTGCCATGTATCCTCGCTCTCCCAATTCGCTCCCTCAATCCTCGCTATCCTTTGGCAGTTGGATCACTTCGAAATACAGGAGGCCAATTGGGTTGGACGAGAAGATCAAGGTGGAACTAATTGTCATTGGCTGAGTTGCTGTTGATCCCACCACTGGAGCTCGACTTGGCAAGGGCGAGGTAAGTGTGTAAACTAAACTCTCAAACATTTTATTCTTGTGGGAATGTTGAAAGAGGAGGTGTTGCTTGGATGATGGAGGCAGGGATTCGCAGAGCTTGAATATGTAATGCTGCGATATATGGGGGCCATTAATGACTACGCTGGTTGTCACTTCAGGTAAGTTCAGCTCAAGAACAGGATAACATGTTAGAGTTTTGAGAAAACAAAGGATTTGCTATCCTAATTTTTTTCTCTGGAATGCCCATTTTGCAGTGAAAGATTGCCAATTGTTCTACAATATCCCAGTAGACAAACTGCCGATCCATGATGTCCCTGTCGACATTATATTCACGCCGTCGCCAACACAAGTCATATTCACCAACACTGGCATCCCAAAGCCTCGAGGTCAGTTTATCAGTGCATGTATGGTGTTGGCTTACATAACCGGTCGCATTTGAATAAATCTAAGGCATTGGTTTGCATTACTCTTTCGTTTATCTGCAGGGATCTACTGGGATAAATTGCCTCCAGAGAAACTCGGCCAAGTTCTGATAAGAAAGGAGCGCAATTGGCGTATTACTGGGTCGGCTCAGAGAGCTCAAGAGACGGATTGAGAAGGAAACTGGACACAAACTACCTACTGGACCATCAGAAAAACTACCCCCTAGTGCTCAGCGGAAGAAACGCAGATAGAGTTATGTAATGAAGCCATTTAACCGTTAGCATATTGTTTCTTTTAACACTATATAGTATAGAGAAGGAAATACACAAAAGAACAATCGGATTCGCAGCTATTATGTACACACCTAAAACTGTCTTGAGATACATTTGATTCCTCTTTGACAGGGCAAATCATCCATCCACGGGAGGTAGAGTACTCATGATTCAGTACCTTATACCATTCTGGTCAGTGGCGTCCCATTTTTCTGATGCAAAATTCTTTCAGCGGGAGCTATGGTTTGTGGCATTGTCATACCAACCGAGACAATGATCTCTGTGTCAAAGATGGCAAAACATTTCGTTAACATATGACGCGCAAGTAACAATGATCAGAATGAAGTAACAAATGGAGGACAATATGAAAGAAACACTCCTGTTGCATATATATCCTGAAACTCTTAACAGAATCACATAGCTCAGAGAGTTGAGGATAAGGCGGTCTGACCTATTCCTTCCCTAATTGACAGGTTTGGTCTGATAATATCTTTCGAGTTGACCAGAAAAATGTCTCCAATATATAAATGGTTTGTTGGAACATAAACGCTGCACAGCTCTTCATCACCATCTTCTCTCTGGATGAAGCAAACCACATCGTCAGGAACTTGTGTGGATACTCTATTAAAGCCTTTCGGACAGCATTTGAAAAAGGATGAATATTTCTAATTCTTGTACTTGCACTGTTGCACATGAGTTAACATAGTGAGAAAGTTAAAATGGTCCGCCAAGAAGATTCGCAAGAACTATAAATTTTATCAGTCTACACCCTTCACAGTGACATACGGAAAACAGATTTCGCTATCTCACATCCTTACTACCATGGTTTATCATTTAGAGGCATGCGTTAAAATTGGGACTACTTGATAGAATTTTAAACCAGTTACCAACCACAGAGCTCCTATAAAAAAGTGTGTTAAATATTTACCTGAAGGAGAACAGTGGATGTGATGAAGCCAAATGCATATTCCCCTTGCCGTGGATGACGGATGATTGCCACCTCTTTAAATGCAGTAGTATTTTGGTCTGCGATTAAAAAGGTCACCAAAGTTAAATGAAATGTTACCCAATTACTTATTCAAGGGTAGTCACGAAAATATCTCAGTGAATTCACTAGTTCTAAAATGCATTCTTTTATAGGTACTCACAGCACAAGCCAACGAAGTCAAATGAAATATTACCCAATTACTAAGTCAAGGATAACCAATTATGTCTCCTAAACCTCTGCATTCTATTACGAGAAATGAAAAGGAAATAGCAAAATGTAGGCATCACAGATCCTTCGTTCAAATGGGAAGGCCTATGTCCTTTTTCCTTCACAAGCGTTTCAAAGTAACATTCTTATTTTGGTAGATCAAATAACATTCATCTAGAGAATTACCAGGAGAAATAGCTGCACTGAGTTGCTTGGAGGCTGAATATAAGTGCTTCACAAATGGCATTTGCTTTATGAGCCATTCACCAAGCCAGAATACAGTGGCACCAAACCATGATGAAGCAAATATCCCCACAAAGAATATGAAAAGTAGTGACGTAATAAATCCAAGGCCTGTTTCAAAAACAGTGGTATATATCAGTAGCGGATAGAATAGAAGGAACAAGTTAAGGTAATACTTCAATCAGTTGCACAAATTTACAGACAAGAATGACTCAGCATGATCAAAAATCTAATCACAATAAAGAGAAATGCAAGGATCTCAGCAAAGAATTGGTGAGTGGTCGATTAAATATCTTCAAGAAGGCATGAATTTAATGGTTGCAATAGAAACTCCAACAGAGGTCAGAACGTTTTTAGAGATCTTTGTATTGCTTGTGTAGGATCAACTAGCACTAGAGAGATACTAAAAACTATCCAATTGCCTAGAAAGTAATGTGGCTACAATATGACGATGGACTTTGAAAAGTTTGGAAACAGCTGCTAATATCAGCATGAATATTCAAGGTTGAGCAATGCTGTAGACAGGACTTTGACACCTTTATCTTCGCATTAGAAGTTCAACCTGTCTGGTGGTAACCAGAACCATTGGGGGAGGGAGTCCAGTAGGTTATCCCATATTATAAATTAGCTTTTAGGTTAGTTTTTCTCTTGAGACACATATTTTTTGTATGAAATGTCTGGGAAATAAACTGATTGGGATTGTTTAAAGAACTTTAAGTTTTGAAATAGGGACAGGTCATGTGGTGATAAGGACCAAATATCCATGTAGAATGGAAATGCTAGTCTATGGTGACAGTTCTTTGCCAAACCTTAGATATCTACTATAGACCCTAAAGTTTAAAGACATAGAAACAGCAAAACTGCTCTGTACCAGGTAACAGAGTATGACTCGGGGGAAAACTCTAGTAAATAATTCTTACCAAATATATCAACGCCAAGTTGTTCATATATTGGACTAAAGAAGCTGTCCACAAACTCAATGAACCACCATGTGACTAAGAATGTCACAGCTACTGGAAATAGAACAATGCTGCAATTTTCACAGACTCAAATAGCATCAGACGAGGCAAGGAAACTGAACAAAATCAGAGATGAAAGAAGATAATCAAATAAAAACCTGAAAGAGAAGCTTTTTCTTACCATCCAGTCATGAACTTCTTGGAGACCCAACTTTGCAGAACAGCATAGCAAGCCTGATAAAAACTTAAAAATTGTTAAGCATGCACAACATTGGTTTCCATATAACATGCACCAATCACTACATCAAATGCCTAGCTCATCCTTCCAAAAGGCCTCCCCCCTCACAAGTCACAACTGGATCCAGTTTCAGAAATGACATATTCTATACGACGACATATTGGCTGATATGAATCTCCAGCCAAAAAAACCCCCAGTTTGTTTCGGGAGAGTGAAGACCCTTCAGTCACCACTCAAATTGGACCTGATCTTGAGTAATGTACTCAAATCTTGGTCCTAAGATCAATGCAACAATAACAGTGAGATGAATTCACCAGGGGAAACGACTCATCCTCCAATTTCCCTCCCATTTTCACCCCTTATTTCATCCCCATTCATCATTCATCGAGCAGGTTGACTTGCTTGCATTCCAATGGCGGAAATGGAAAAAAGGATACACTTACTAGATCCCGGACCAGAGGCAAAGAACAAATTCAATTCCAATACGCCAAGCACACATGTGAGAAGAATTGTGCAGAAGCTTAGGATCAAATTGACCACAAAAGGAAGGTTTTATCGACGAGTCAACAGAGCAAAGTCCCTTTCTCCACAGGAAAAAAGACAAGTAGCGGTTGGAGAGAGTGAGTGAGCGGAGTGTTACCTTGCGAGTGGAAGAGCCAGGGGAGCTAGGAGGAGACTTGGGGACATCTTCCGAGTCGGACTCGTGGCGAGTCAGATCTTGCTTCTCCGAGCTTGACGACGACGATTCTTTATCCGCTGCCATTCCCAACAAACCCTGAAAATCCTCCGTCCACTTGGAGCCCCTTGTCACAAATAAAACAAAATCCAGAGAACTCTCTGGCGGGGCGAACTCCCGGTGGAAATGGAGGAAATGGAAATCGGGAGTCGCCGGAGCCGACTTCTGTATATTATTTGTTTCTTCTTCTTTCAGTTGGTTGGGTAATGAGGGCTAAAAGACCGGCGGGTGGACTATGGAAGGTGAAAAGGAAGACTGGAAGTTGAAACTTGAATGAAACACATTACAATCTTTAAGGTGCTGTTTGGATGTGAATTATCATATTCCTCTTCTCAATTATAAGTTATAACAATCCTCTTAAGAAAAAAAATCGGTCTAATTCGTATTAATGATTGGCACGATCCATAGTTATTTCCATGATATTATAACTTATAAGAGAACTAATAACATAACTTTGGGTCGCTCACATCAAATGGATGTGTGCCAAAATTTACAAAATGACCCCTATTAACAAGGAAGTCGGGCAACACAATTGCTTTCTCTAAAAATATGAGTGATTCTAATTCCCAATTTCATTCCAAAAGACTTCCAATATGCTTTGCCAACAAGCCATGAGCATGCTCACTATCTTTCTAGCTTTTGATGATTTCAATTGTTGTCGAGGAATCTAGATCCAGCTCGACCCTTTTGTATCTAATTGTACCAGGTCAAATCAAGTCCTTCAGTCACGTCTTTAAGTTCAGCTCTTGTGATTGAGTAGGTGTCGAGGTTGCAGGTGAAGGCTCCCTCACATCTAACTAGTTGATCTCCCAGAATTCCTCTCGCTGCACCAGCACCTATTCGAGTGTCAACCGAGCCGTCAGTTTGAACTTGTATCCACCCGTTCCTTGGTGGCTTCCATCCAATTTGCTGGACTGTCTTTGATTTATGGTTCGGCAACAAGCTGCATCTGGCATTCTGTTGTGCTTTCTTGTTGATCTCGAGCCACGCCAGAATTTTGTGTATACAGTATTTTCTTAGAATTTTTTTCCATCCATGACTTCTTCATTCTTCTGTTTCCATAGGATCCAACAGTTGAGCTCAAAGTATGTCCTTGTCTCCTCGTCCATAAGGTTCTTGTTCAGCCATGTGTGAAAATCGACATTGTTGTTCTTCTCCTTCACTCTGTCTTTGAACCGATTCCAAATTCTTGCACTCTTGGTGCAGTTCGGCCGCGCTCCGGTAAAAAATCTCAATATCGTATTCGTTTAGAAGAGAAACAAAAATTGCGTTTTCATTATGGTCTTCGGAGGATATGATCCACTGTTATCCCGAGCAGTGGCTACAGTCACCATTCTTGGCCAGCTTTCACCTTTTCCTTTCTTTGTTTGTGAGTAGTCTCTTATGAGTTACAAGCCAGCGAAAGTGATTCATTCGGCTTGGACCTCTCTAGTTTCAAAGATCCTTCCACATTTTATCTGGTTTGTGCTCGAAGTTGCCAACGATAAGATTATAAGATGATTTCAGTCGAAATCTTCCATCCCTCTCCATAGCCTATAGTGTAATTTTTAGGTTGGTTTGGTTGCTGAATTTGATTCATGAATTCAAGATTCCAATTTTAATTTTGATGGATTTTATTAAGATTTATTATTTATTGATAGATGTCAAATACGCGGTTTTATAAATTTTTACTTTTTTATCCAAATTTGTGGATCGCTAGGAATTATAAACGCATAATAATTGATTTGGTTGAAGAGACTAAGATCCATGATGGCTATTGATTCATGTAACAGATCTATCGTGTAAACAATAGACTCTTCAAATTCATAATGCAATTGATCTATCATAAATCCTAAGACAAAAGCAAAAAAAAAATCGTAAGTTTGAGTTATATTTGGCTTTTTTGACTCACCGAAAAGGGGTTTTGCTCCAAAGGTGAGTTCTAGAAAGTCAAAAGTTTTAACTTTGACTTTTTGTGTTAATCTCCATTAGTGTAAATTTCAACACCTTAGTTAGATTATTTGTTCATTATTTTTATATATGTAGTTATAATTAATTAAGTAAACATTTCTATGTATTGTTTTTAAATTTGGACATAAAAAATTAACTTTAAATATGATGCACAATGATGATAACACAATAATAGGTTCATATAGTCATAAATTCATCACATGTTTGTCAGATTGAGTTGTGATATCAACTACTTATCCAACTTTTGTCAGATTGAATGTGACATCAACTGCTCAACCAACTTAAATCATAGTGAGTTGTGTCATCAGCTATTCATTCAACTTTAATCATAATAAGTTGTGTCATCAATTGTTCATCCTAACTTTCATCTTATTATTGCAGAAGGGACCATTTCCTATTAAATGAACCATCAAACTTGACCATTATGCTCACCCACCATTAAACCTTCTTTCTGCCAAAAATCATTCAATCTTCCTTTCGTACATCGATCTAGCCACCAAAACTCTTTTGCCTTCATGGATTACCTTGGTAGAGAAGCTGATGTGAGATAAAGAGAAGCTAATGATAGAAAATGACAGCATGAGTGCCAACTTGAGCATAAACGTGTAGAGATGTTCATGATGTACGCAAACCATCCTCACCAACATCAAGCAACTTCATCTCGTGGCAGTTCATCAACATAAAAATCAGTAAGATGTAACAAGGAAGGCGGTCACATGCACTTAATGCAAGATTATCTCAACCTAAATCCAGCCTACAATGCTAGGGCCTTCACAAGGTGGCATCAGATGCCCCCACCTTATTCAACTGAGTCATGAATAATGTGGTTCAGTACGATGCCTACTTCAAGCAAGGGAGAGATGTTGCAGGTCATGACTCATTATCCCCACATCAAAAGGTAATTAGTTCTTTCCGCATAAAACGAAAACTAAACCATAACAAAAATAAACTATAAAAAAGTGACATAATGGTGATGCTGATCGAGATGTAGTATTCTCACAAAGTAATAAATCCTAGATTTGTCTATGGTTGTATTTCACGAGTCTTTTAATTGCAAATACTTTGTAACTAATCACTTGTGTTAACAGTTAATCACGAACAAGGGCTCATAGACAACACTTTGCTAATTAAGTCATATACGAACACCAAAGCAGTGGTTTTTTGTATTGGTGACCTAATGCCCCATATCAAATGTGCTCTAATTTTTCTCCATTAGGCTTATCATGTGCTTAAATTACTTTTCATTGAATTTCGGTTCATTTGGACTCCGTTTGGTATATGAAAACCTCTATAGTCTCTATATTTCATCTTTATGGGCCTCCAACTCGAGGTCTCTTTGGTCCATGATTTGATCCAAATTTTTCTCGAATATATTTTATAAGAAATGCACATGGATGCTCGACAAACTCTTTGGATAAGTCACGTCGAATGGGCAAGATCACTTTATTTGTGTGTCCGAGGAAATTCTGCTCGATTATCATCAATATTTATAGTTCTTAGTACTATTGTGCACTGATAGCGGAAGATACTTGTCGCCTCCTTGATCATGGTTCACAACATGGCTTTCAAGGCATGATTGGATCTATTGAATGCATGCACTGGGAGTGGAAGAACTATCGGACTGGATGGGAAGATCAATAAGTCATGTCGAATGGGTGAGAGCACTGTATTGGAGTGTCCGAGGAAATTCTGCTCGATTATCACCAATATTTATAGTGCTTAGTACTTGTTTACACTGATAACGGAAGATACTTGTCGCCTCCTTGATCATGGTTCACAACATGGCTTTCCAGGCATGATTGGATCTATTGAATGCATGCACTGGGAGTGGAAGAATTGTCAGACTGGATGGGCAGACCAATACGCTAGGCACAAGAAGAAACCAACCATTGTCCATGAAACTGTAGAATCGTGTAACATATGAATTTAGCATGTATTCTTTGGAACACCAAAATCCAACAATGAAATTAATACTTTGGAGTATCCACACTATTCGAGCAAGCAATATGCATGGTTTCAAAGGCGAGTTATGAGGTAAATGGTAATACGTACGGCCAATACTATTTCTTGGTTGATGGAATATACCCTGAGTAGACTACATTTGTAAAGACCATAATTAGCAATCCAAGCAACCAGAAGAAGAAGTTGTTTGCAAAGTACCAAGAGGCTTACCGCAAGGATGTTGAGAGAGCCTTCGGCATACGACAACAAAGGTGGGCCATTGTGAGAGTATCGAGTCGTTTAGGGGACGTTCATACACTTGATGAGATTATGTTAGCTTGTATTATTTTGCACAAGATGATAGTGGAAGATCAACAATACAAGTATGAGGATGATGATGATGGTCCAGTGGAGAACATTGAATATGAGAGTAATCCAAATTTCACTTGGAATCCACATGATCATAACATTCTAACTCTTAGAGAGTACATGGCTAGATAAAATAGGATTCACGGTCGTCCTGAACATCACGCATTGAGAAACGACTTGATTGAGCATTTATGGACAAACCATGAAGGGTAGTAAAAAACATTTATCGAGTTGTTCACTATGTTTTGCTTATGTATTTCCTATGTTATATTTATGTATTTCCCAAGCAACATTTATGTATTTTATGTCCTCAATGTATTGATTTTAATAAAGAAAGTAATTTCATTACTTAATTGAGGAACTACGTTCGAAATAAATCATACATCATAAAAATCAAATTAGAACAAGAATAAACTCAAAATAAAACAATTCGCTAAAAATATTACATTTAAGGGGCATAGTAAGAGTCATCATTTAGGCTATATGTCGATCCTCTCGAAGCATCTTGGTATGAAGCCACAAGTGTATCCTTTTGCCTATAATACCATGATCTAGTTTGAGAACTGTATTGAGAAAGATCCATATTCATTATTGTCATCTCGTGCTTGTTCTTGTCTCTTGCTTCTCTCGCGTTCCTCTCTAGCAAGTGATAACCTTATGTGCGTGATTACATTCTCCACCAGAGTGTCCATATTACTGTTCCAACTTTCTGTACAAGAATATGAAGTTGCTCTTTTCTTCTTCTTTCTAATCCCGACCTTCAGGACGGTGAATGACAAACAGAGTCCCACTTGCTTGAATGTCGGGACTATTAGTTTTGTCAGATGACATGTATGGTAAAGATCCATCCGTTGGTGGAATGGAGATTACAGAGACCACAAATGGTTACATGAATTTTGGAGAATGTTGCAGTATGACCCAACAATGATTGAGCTTGAAATGCTTCCCGATGTCTGTTTTGAAAAGTTGTTTCGCTCACTCAAGCTAAACAATTAAACAACATGAACTATACAATTAATTTAGAAATAAAATTAATTTTAAC